AATTACCACTGTCCTTTTTAAATAGCGCCTATAGTGACTCAGATATGACTAATAAACTGATTACAATCCGTGCAATATACCACTCACTGAAAATAGGGCGAGCGCAAAAAATCTTACGGTTTATACAAGCCTGACGAAGATATTGGATATAGAAAACTCGAAATTGACCAACCGTACTATGTAAGTGGTATTACAAATATAAACGGTACTTCTCCTTACTGTTGCCAGTACGGTGACTTCTTTGATAGACGTTAACGTAAATTATTTCACTTTGAATTCAGTTTCACTGCTTCCTGATAGTTTACCCTTGATTTTAGTGTGCATTGTGTACAAGGTTTATTTTTGTATCAATTTTGTTAGGTAATATATTTAGACCCTTCCCAAGCAAACAATAAAGGGGAAATAAAGGCGAACAAAGAGAAAATACGTATGGGAATGATGAGAAATGCGTTAAAATGTATGGTTTCGCGCCTGTTTTGTGGGAATAATGAAGATTTTCATTTTTGTCACTCAGTGTTTCAAAGGTCGCTAAATTGGCTGTTCTCGCCTAAATGCCCATTAACCTATCTACTTTTCGTCAAAATACAAGCCAACCTATCTACGTTGGCTAAAATCTCAATGTTCACTTCATGTTTCATCTGTTACGTGACCCCAAATATCTCATATGTTCGCCTTCGCTTCCATGACAAACCACACAACTGCATTCGACAGTGTTAAAAATGGCACATGTTTAAAAAGATATAACTTATAGCCTTGTGCCCAGTGATACATAAACCTGTACGAGCAGTCTAGAGTTCTTGTCGGTCTTTCGTACTGCCTAGCCCTCCCTGTTGTGTTCAGAACATAAATCTCAGCCTCCGCGATGTGAATCATATATTTCAATAAATACTGGGTTTGTATGCAATTTAAACAGACCACATTACACTACATAATAGGGAATAACATTTGTACAGGATATAGCCAAGTGTGACTGTAATTGTAGGAAATTGTAATTAATAAACTGGGCAAAACTTAAGAATAGTAAATGGTATAATAATATCTCATAGGTCAAAATAAAGTTTATAATGAGAAATGTAAATATACATAGGTTAGTCACTTAACAACTATACAATAAAAATATGTGGATAGTATTATTCCATAAATAGATACCAACAGTTACCATTCATTATTCTGGTAGGGACATAACAAGAGACTTATTGACAAAAAAATCGTCATGTTGTACAACATTATGAGTAGTACACGGATGCCCGATCAATGGTCGTTATGGGTTTTCATTGTAAATGCCAAGTCCTATCGTAACTTATGAAGATCTACAAAAAAAGAACAGGTTATGGGTTATTAATTAACAATATGTCTATACGAATGTGCATATGAAGTCGGACGGGCTTTCAAAACGTTCACTTAGAGAGTTTTACATTAAAGTTATAAAATCAGAGCATGGTAAAAAAAGTTCTATTGAAAACCAAGTTAAACATAAAAAGTGTTTCACTGGTAATGTCTTTTTTAAATGGCCGTTTGACTATTGCGAAGCAATGTAGTCTTTCTGCAAATTCTGAAATTTAATGGACACGGAAAATTACAACGCTCGCTAACTGCCATAGTTTTTCAAGCAACTATCTACATGAAGCTTTACTTACGGTTATATTTGTTAATATTGAATATTTCACCTATAGAACAGCAGTGAGTAGTTATAAGTTTAGATTTGTACACACATATTTTTGTTTTCTTCGATTGAGCTTTTGTGTTTTGTCTTAGATGGCGTGAAAGTATCCTTGCGTATCGATAGAGTTAACTACAAGTTTCTTGTGCTATACAACCAATTTTGGGGAAAATGTATATATTTTTCCCAAAATTTGGTTTTTTAGGTTTTTGTGACCTCGGATGATATGTGTTTTTCAATTCGATTTCTCTTATCTACAGAACTAACAAATCATCCATTCACCCCTCATAAGCAGTAAAAAATCTTACAGTGTTATGGTCCAAAACTTCTCAATGTAACTTCAAAGTTCTTTCTCCAGTTATCTTACACTCGGTCATTTCAGTTACTGAGTAATGATAATTTACATGAATTCACTTAAATGTATAAATCGATTTATACATTGATCAATAAATATATGTGCACGATTCAGAACATGTGTTTCTATAACCTTTACACAAGTGTTATTTTTTTCCGAGATTCTGACTTAAAGTTCGATTCATTTAGGAACAAAGCTTTTATTGGTGTTCCAGGTTTTCAAAAAGATATTTTATACAGTATTTACAAAGTTTAGGTTATATAAATGTTTTACGTAAAGAAGATCGGGGCTTTAATGTATATTAACTTCCTTGATGTCTGTATTGTTTGATTGCATTTGGTTAGTTAAGTATATGACTAAGTATTTTTTTCAATTTAGTTTAGTGAAGAACGTCATTTTTAGAGGACGCTATTGCTAACGACTAAGCAGTAGTTCATTTTAGCATACGTTCGGATTTGGTGTTATGTGTTTAAGTTCATGAGTACATATATTCTCATAGTTACAGTTAATTAATGGTAGAATCTCCCTTTTCGTAACAAATATGTAAGATTTTAAGCACAGGTTGTAGCTAGCTGTCATAGAAAGTATGGCCCCCAAATGCTCTGGTACGGCCGAGAGTTGGGAGAGACCGCTCTCCTGGTTGAAATGTTCTCACATGGCCACGCGTATATAGCCTCTGCCAGGGAAGTCCTACTCACTGTCTCCTCGTGGCGGGGGTGTTGTCTATAAAATTGAGAGGACAAAAAGCGAACGTCCGGCGCTTTAACCGGGTTGGTGGACATGGAGAGTCCACCTAGAAGAGTTGGAAAACCCTCATTCCAAACCAATGCTGCACATGAGCTCGAGGATCCTGAAGGAACAAATGACATGAACCAATCGTTGGTCACCGGCTACCATGGGAATGCATCTCCTTGCGATACTCCACTGCCTTGTGGATCAGACCTTCATGTCGAGGGCCCTGGGTGTGGCCCCCTAAGAAGACTACCTGCTTCGGTTTAGGCATCTGGGCAGTATCACAACCCTCACACATATCAAATGAGATCTGTGTGGCGAATATGTATTTGGTGCCTCCTTGTACCAATATCTATATGTTAAAATAAATAAAATAAAAATCGGATGTTTATTGCTTATAAAAAACTGTTCAGCAAACAGGCATGATGACATGCTACCTCATACAATAGACAAGAATGTTGATGTCCAAGAAGAATTGAATATTCATTTATTTGTTGGTTTCTTTAAGGTGTATTTATTTAAATTTTAAACAGTGGTTAACAATAGTATGTGGTAAATCTCATGCTGTTTACGTCTATCTATTTGAATTATGAAGAGGCTTCCCTTAAAGCCTTATCTATAATCTAAAGTTGAAATTACTTGTCATAGAAATGTAGTCAATGAACAAGGTAAGTAAATTCGAACGGGTTGTTTCTGACAGGATTCAAAACACTACTTCTGAAAGTAGAATACCTGCATTAGTTTTCTTGAATTGTTGATATGTTTTTGAGATATTTCACGGGAAATGTAACCACCGATCATCTCGTGCTAATGTAAATTACGAGATATGATGAATTGACTCATGAGATCATGAACATTTACTGATTAAAGTGTTTAAGAATTCACTTATCAAATATAAGTATATTTACTCTACTCTTAGATGTTTTTTATGTGAGAGGTAGTAAGAATACCTAGCAGCTCAAACCAAGTAGGTGTTGTAAGTTTGGAACCTGCTATTTAGTGGTTGGACTCTGGGTGCTCTAGATTTCCAGTCATTATCCGTTCAGGGCTTTTTCACGCATATGTAGTCATCGCTTACCTCATCACATTAGACTGGACATCATAGTAGCAAATCGAAAGAGGACTGATAACAGCCAAACGGATACATCATCATTCGTCAAAGTAGTTGACTGTTAGTCTGATTGGCAAAACGGCCCAACACAGGCCCTAATGTCATAGCTATGTTCTTTCTTTACTCTCCCACAAATCTCGAGGTTTATTATTTTCGTTGTTGATTTAATTTGTTTCTTTTAGACCCTATCTCCAGTCTTACATTTTGACTCCTAATGACACTGTCATTTCGACTCCCATACTTTATTTTACCTCGATAATGCCCTTTTGATGTCTTTTTGTCAGGTCTGGATACTTTTGTGAGCAGTTAATACAGTTCTCACATTTAGTGGTCGGCGATAAAGAATAATCAGTGACACCAAACATCTTTAGTTGTATCTCGTATGGTAGTTTGATATTGAAGTGTATAATGATACTGTAGGTTGGTTTATTAAAGGCTGAATCTTAAAAACCTCATAGAGAGCTATTATCTTGTATAGCTATATCTATATGTTTGCTAGTGGTTCTTGATTTCACTATATTCATAAATTTTAGCCATAAATAGGTCTCACCTCTCGACTTTTAGGAGTTTAAATTCTTACTCAAAAATCGTTTAATTGAGATATATTACACCATTTACTTAAGGAAACCCAGTAGTTACCCTAAATTAATAATGTTTTATGAAGTTTTGAACCAAACGGTACAATCTCTCGTTAATTTTTTCTCCTCAAAAGACAGAATCTTGGCTAATCGTATGTGGAAAATATTTAGTCATACTAATAATTCATTCGTAGATTGCATAAAACCTAATAGAAGCTTCAGGATGGATTCCAGATTCCCGTCTAGTTTTCGTTGACTGAGGTACTGGGAACATATCTATTGAGTCTATATAAACCCGGTTAAATTGTGAAGTACTTGGTGTTATGGGCATACACTAAATAGCATATATAAGGTTCGTCACACTACGACTTACGTTAGCTAGTTTAAACAGATAAAAAGAGCCTCATGGTGGTTTGGTCAGCACATGAGTCTGTGAATAACTTCATTATGAATTGTGTCTAGGTTTCGATTAGCATCTTGTTGAATTTCTTAGCTCACAATTACTCTTAAAATCGTCGTAAGAATATTTAGTATCAGTTTAGTTTTTGCTAACCTTTCAGTGCACTCAAGATTGTGTCAACTTTAGCCACTAAGGTGTTACGTTGTTTCACGATCGATGTTTAGTTGGAATAACTACACCTTTCCATACTATGTATTACTTCTAAGTTGCAGTAGAGTTTTATAATACAAATGTGTTTTAGAGGATATACGTATTAGATTTATTGGGAATTTCCAGTTATAAATCCCTGACTACTACTTTTTTAATCGATTAGATTCTGTGTTTCAGGAACCATCAAGTTTTCCGTCGAATATGATTATACCTATCCATGGACCAAAGTAAATCATACAAATCTTTTTATAGTATTATTTTCTAGTGGAGAAGTGAGTGAGTGGCTAATGATTGAGTTACAAGGTGATGTTTTGAGTAAAACAAATAGTCCATTAGCAGGGAAAAATTTAGGCGATCTTCATTTTTCACAAGAGGTTAGTTAATTATTTCTTTCTATCCTGTTTAATATTCATTTTATAGAATGGCGATCCAGTTCTCCTTATTGGTCATCATGTACTTTTCGGGAAAGTAGTTGCTCTTGAAAAGCCTATGCTTGTCACAAAAAGAAACACCACATCTGGAAGCTTACAGTATGATATCGTTTCTGTTATTCGGCGTAAATTATTGTTTAAAACACGACCTAAACCGATCATCTCATGTGCTTCCAAAAAAGTTTGAAAGAGCTGATAGTATTTTACAAATTGATATGCATTATTATGTAAATATATCCTTCAAATTATGTATTTCTTTGTCATATACATGTGTTGTAGTTAGCCGGGGTGTTGTTGGACAAGAGGGTTTCTCGTGTACTCATTAATCCAATTGTACTATATAGGAATAGTATTCAAAATAATGATTATCTGCTACAACTGCCCTACTCTCAGTACAGTTGAACCCTATGGATAACTTCCAGAGATCAATTATCCTCATGCTCCTTCACTATATATATTAAGTATTTTGGTTTTGAATGGCATAGAATACACTATTCAAACATAGAAGCGATTCCATTTATCACTTAGTCAATAATGGATATGGAATTATGCATGTCACGTAGTATCTTTATATGTGTAAAACCATATCAACAGATACCTATCCTTTATGTAAGAGAATTTTGAGAAGCATGGTTTATTTGTCCTATTGACGTATCTGAAGTAGTTTCTTTTATAACTACCGTAAAGTCTGACAGAATTTTACTTATTTGATATTACATATAAGCAATCGGATAGTTCTGTTTGTTTTGGTCTAAGGGCAAGTCGTTGGGTTTATATTTCGAGATATCTGGCAAGCTTGTGATGTTGTTTTATTTCAGCTGGAATCAGTATTGTCAGTAAAGTCATGAGGTTTCATTTTTTTGAAGTGGCCAGTATATCATTTTCGAATACTAACTGCGAAGTCTAATATTTACTCATAACAAATGAGGCATAAAGATATAAGATTTCTATGGTGCATCCTCTTTTTAATGTGCTTCATTGAACTTTGTTTTATACTCATACGATAAAAAGATATTTCAGGATTTAAGCTGCACTGGGTGTCTATATGTTCATCTTTATTCTTGAGACAGTCTAAGGGTTTTATACTGTCTTAGGATACATATTATACGTTTATTAAATAAAGCTTATTGTAGAGTACAGTTAGTTGGTGTTCATATTAAATACAAGATTGATATATCACATAAAGTTTGGAGTAAATAAACGTTTTGAAAGTTTATGAGCTTTCGTCTGGTTAAACTGCATGCTTTTAGTCTATTTTCAACGTATGGAATACTTTGTCAATAGTTGAACGATGTGTTTTGCTCTTTCTCCCTCAGAATGAAAATAAGGTTCTAATTACCATTTAGATTGTAACTTCATAATATTCCGCATAGAACATATAGGTCAGTCGGTCTATAATTTCTCTTGGAATTAACTAAAAATTGTAGCCCAAAGAGCAGTCTGACTTAAGCTTTTATGTCGAACTTCAATGATTTATTTTAAAAGACGAGGTCCCCACATCTAAGAAACATCAAAAATCTGTCATAGAAGCGGTATTATTTTTATTGAGCCTCAGTGTCAAGTTTGAACTATAGGAAAAGTGGGAGCATGGTACTTTTACGTACGAAGGACAGTTTTTTACATGTCTCTCTCAGGGACTTATGAGACTGGCGCTTCCAATCCTCTACCTCAGTCAATTTTAACATCAATATAAAGCTTCTATTGGCCAGTTAAACCGCTTAAGAAGCGAGCCTTGAGGTCTTCTCGCTACTTCATATTTGTCTAGTTTATATTGGGGCAGTCCAGATCTCCATCCAATCATTCTACTTGTTGTTTGTGGGATGGGCTTCGGTGAAGGTTCCACTTTTATGTAGGCTGAGATAGGTACTGCTTCAGCAACTCTCAAATATTGCGGGATTTCAACCGGTTTTCTGTTCGGATCAATCAGCTCGTGGATTTCATCTTTTAGAAGCTCCCGGGGGGTTAAAGTAAGGAAGCTCCAATTCTTGGACCATGCTTTAGATGCGCTCGCCTCCTTAACGCAGTTATCGCGCCTTCAAAACATTAGGCAACTGCTTAGACTTACCAGATCTTATCGCTTGCTACATAATTGCAGAGTGGGACTTCTAAACCGATTTTGCTAACTTTGCCTTCCATTAGTTCAAATGTCCGGTGATGTGGTTGTCAATAGTTACCTAAGTGAATTTGAAAAAACAATATGCCATTGACCAGTAAAACATTGAATCGAACAGTCAGAATGGCCATTTGCACGCAGCGCTCTATTTGATATCACACGCGATAATGGTGAGTGCTGTTTTCTTCGACGTTTTCGAGATTTGTCATTTTCAGTGGAAACTTTTCTCACTTATTGTATTATTGGTCGAAAAGTTCTGTTAGTAACTTCGTACATTCTTCAGCATTAGGGATAGTAGGTCGCTGAACGTGTGTTAATCCTTGTAGCCTGTTTTCCAGTAAAGATCCAGCTTCTTCCCATGAATGCTCGTTGATGGGCCTGAGACAACTTGTGTGGTTAAGGCGTTTCAGTCATTTACTGTTCTATAGGGGAACGAAACCTCATTCTGAGTTTGTTAGATTTTGGTTTTCGAGTCCTTGTTGTGATCTTTGAGATGGTTAGTTCTGGGGAAGCAAGAACGTTAAATATTTTGATACCTTAACCATTATAAATGGTTCTTTATTCTTATACAAAGTCACTCCGCCTTATACAATAATATACGGGGAAACGTTTCAGGCGTGAGAGCTCATCATAAGGGAAGTTGTTAAACTTTTCACTAACTTTGTTCCCACGCCCTAATGTGTTATTATCCTTATTAAGACATGGGTCAGCTTTTTGGATACAGTTTTGTAGTTATGGTTTTACATAGGTGGTATGTAATCTTCGAAACATCCTCTCGTTAAAGCCTTGAAATGCTCAGCGAAGTGATCGTAATGCTCGGAAACTTTAGCGGTTGCTGTGTTGCAGTTCACAGTTGTTTTTAAGTCACGACTTACTGTCACTACTACGTTTTCGTGTTCTTGTATGCGCGAAAGGTACGTGCTTTCAAAAGTGTACTGGTTACTAGTGGACACCAAGATTATTAGTGCCTGCACTATGATACGCTGGCATTGCAGGTAGTTCATGTTAGAGGTATAGAAGTCGAGATATTATCAGAGCACTTGAAGGCTCTGGGAAGTCACTGTAACTTTCAAAACTCTTCATTAGCAATAAGTGCTCTTCAAATCACATCTTCAGATTATCTCTCTAGTTTTGCGTTGGATTTGTAGAAAAGTTATTCCATGGGTAGAGTACTGGTGAATCCCGGTTACCGGTGTTTATTAGCATATTGCAATTCATCTTTTAATTTTGGGGATAAATAACGAACTGAATAATCATAATTAGATTGGGGTTGAATTTTTTAGACGTCATTACTTATTATTTCCCAGGCAGTTACGTCTGCGAAAGGTTCGAAATTTTAAAGTTTTGACAATTAATAGACATAAAATATTAACATCCCTGTCATGAATGATATTTGTAGGCCCTAACATTTGTGCATAAGATCTTAGTAAGTCACTATAAATTCCTTGCTAAACCTGTTTATACTGGACAGACACCACAATTTTGAACAGCCTCAATCTATCTTATTGAGAAAGTTAGACGAGCGTAAACGTTCCGTAAGATCCTATTTAACCTTGAAATCGGGAGGTTTTGCGATTTTAAGCGACTACTTATTTAGTTCTCTAGTTAGGTTTGTAGGTCAGTAGTCATCTACAAGCTGTTTTTATTCTTTATTATTATTATCATCATTTAAACAGAAATATTAGTATAAGGAGGCAGTAAGTAGATATGTGCTACGTAAATCATTCGATTTGTGTGAGGCTTGGAATACTATCCAGATGCCCAAACCGAAGCAGGTAGAGTTTATTAAGGGGCCACACCCCGAAACTTTCACATAAAGGTCTAATCCACAACGCAGTGGAGCAACGTCAGGAGATCCAGTCTCATGGTAGCCCGTGGCCAACAATAGGTTCATACGCCATTTGTTCCTTCAGGATACTGGAGACCATGGGGATTATTGGTTTAGAATCAGGGTTTTCCAACTCCCCGAAGTGGATGCTCCATATCCACCAATCCGCTTAAATAGTCGGACATTCGCTTTTCGTCCTTTCAATTTCTTAAACAACAGTAATGCCGCGAGAAGGTAATGAGTAAGACTTCTGTGGTGGTCGTTGTATGCCAAATAGCATCAGGAATAACCTAATATCGAAAAACGAGCCAGCTTCTAGCTCAAGAGAAATTGCAGACACATCAAAAGTACGAATTAAATGATAGAACTCAAGACAGAGCTGAAGATCTCTAGTTGGCAGCTTATTCTCCCTGAGGGTTAATCAACGTAAGCCAATAAAAAGCTGCCTTCGTGATAAGGTCTGATAGTTGTGATACTAGGGCAGTAATATAAGTATTAACAGAGAAGACCTCACTAAATCAATATGACTAGATTTTGGCTACATGCAAGTCTGAATTCTTATACAATTGTCAACAAAATTCCATTACTTCATTTAGTTCCCGCTAGTATAGGGAACCAGACGTTTCAGTCGTCGTTGTGTTACTTTTCGTAACCAATGCTTGATTTCGCAGTGACTGTCTTCACAACGGATATACAACACGTGGAAGTTGTTTGTTTATATCCAAGGTTTACTGAATCACTTCTAATTGAGCTAAATAACTTTAGTGCACTGTCATCCACATTGATATAAACAAGTTGATCAAGATAATGTGGGTTTACAGGCTGGATTAATAAATGTAAATGGGTTAGACGCAGGGTATTAGGGAATGATGGTAAATCAGTTGATGAGGTTATGAATCTTCATCGACTGATATGGTTGGGCCACGTATTACGTATGCCTGAACACCGATTACCACGACGCGCACTGCTAACTAGTGTTGGGGATGGTTGGAAGAAAGTTAGGGGCGGCCAAACCAAAATGTGGCATCAGTCCACAAAGTCACTAACTTCTAGTCTGAGCCATATTGGTAGGTGCAGACTACTTGGTTGGGGTCCGCGTGACTTTCGTAACCAATGGTTGGAGACTCTTGGTGACATGGCTCAGAATCGATCACAATGGCGTCGGTGTATACACTCCCTGTCTTCTTTTAAACTAAGAGACTAAAATCACTTCATTCTTTCTGTCTACGAACTAATTCTTTCTTCCTATACTATATCCTTATTGCAACCTTTGACCTAACCACTCCTATGAATCCGGTGTTCATCTTGCTGTGCTAATGAGGTATGGCAACCTGGACCGATGCACATATGTGCCTGGTCCTACGTTGTAGCTGACTGCCTGACTGTTCCTTTGAGTTACTCGAATTTTAATAATTATTGTCCCCAAATATTTGGTATGTTTAATAGATTTCACTAACTTGCTAATGTACCGCTGTAGACGAATGGCTTCATTAATCGTACGAGTTACGTCTGAAAACAGATATCGTTTGTGTTGTGGCAGGAGTTATACCCAGAGTAATTCTTAGACTCAAGTAATTTTGTTGCAGCATCAGTTCTTTTAGATTTAGACGAGCTTCTTTCGGGAACTAGTTTTCCAGTATGCCTTCTAACTGATTAACGTTCTCATTAACTACTCTCAAACTAAGTCGATTATACACTTAACCACAATGTAGTTCGGTAGTCTAATTTTCAGGGCTTGAATTCCAGTCAGTTAGTTACAAGACCTGCCCATGGTAGGGCCTCGGTTTCAACGACTGGGAAATACCACTGGCTATCACAAACCTTGTATCTCAGCCGTACACATTAATGTGTACTTTGTCAGTAGTTTAGATCACTTTATGACCATGTACTATAGGTAACCACATAAAACTCAACGGTCTCAAACAGAATTACCATTGGTGTTGATCAACCAAAAACAACTTAGTTAAAACTAGTGTTACAGAATAAAATTCTCATTATTGTGTTTGTGAAGAAGACTTGGAGTAGCTGTCATATACTGATACCATTTAGGTGATTTCCACATGAGATAACTTCTCATGGAGTTTCCACCCTCCATTTACCGCAACATAGTTATCTCGCAGTGGTTTTTAGCTTTTGTATTTTTGTATTTTTAAGATTTGTTTTATATCTTGAACACAGTAGTCGTTGTACTTACATTAATCACATTATTATTTCACGAAATAATGTGGATGAAGTGTTCTGATCCAACACTCATCACTGATTATCGCCCTGCATTGTTGCATATACACGCCCTCAACTCCAATTAAGTTGTTGAATTCAGCTTCGACAAACATTTTAGTACTCCTTGTCGCAATTAGGAGAGTGTTATTAAGTAAGCTGGTTACTTACAGCAAATTTGATGATACACTTTCATTTTCGGCATGATCTGACAATATGTGACTTTCAGGTGTATTCAAGGTATGTATTCTTTCTTCCCTCATCCAAGGAACACTTAAACTATGTAGTCTTTCTGTGTTTTTATTAGTTCCGTTATTTTTTATACTATGGGCATTGTATTCGAGATGACATCTAGATTTAACGAAACAACTAACTCGTTAGGAGTACGTCCTATGAAGCTTCTCATCATTGATTCAGACATTTTTTTACTATCTTTATATATTTCGTAATGTTCAGAAAATTTATACTTAAAGTTGGTGCAGACATGCTACTGCATATCCTGTAAAGATACTTTAAACAAATGTTGCGAAGTATGAATAATGTTTGCATGAACTTCATGATGTTTCGTACATTAAATGCTCATCGTTGCATCCATATTTCACCAAATTTGACCAACAAACCTCAGATGAGAACGAAGTTGCAACATCTGACGAAGTTTAAGTATGGTTTCACGCGACTCAACAAAGACCATCACCAAGGAGAGTGGATTTCCTTCACCCTTGAGCGTACTTATGATCACCGTTTAGTCCTACATTAACTTAATAATGTAGTCTCATCAACGGATGTGGCTGATGCACATGCTCTCTATAGATTTGTAAATTTCTTCCCTTTTTATCCACACGAAGTGTAACAGCTGAAACAAATACATAACTAAGCTAATGCGTGTTATTATTATTATTATTATGCGCTATCTCTGTTTACCATGAGAAATTACGTATCTTTATTGTTTGTAAAAATTGCGATTTTTTACTTTCAGGGCAGAAATAAAAAGAAACAAAGTCAAACTATTCCTTTAATTCCTACTTCACAGAACAAAAGAGCAAGACGCAAGAAAGCCAAGAAGCTTAAAAAGAACTTAGAAGGAACAAATGCAATTATATCCAACATGCCTTCTATAAAAGTCAATGAGAGTAAAAAAAGTAAAAAGCGAAGATTTTTAAAAGAACAACAACAGAAAGCTTCTGTTTTAACAAGTTCCAATGTGAAAATAACAAAGAAAAAACGAGCCGGGTTTGGTGAAGCCTCCAGTGAGAGTGATTCTGAGCCTATTGAAGCTGACTGGGGGAGTGCAAACGACCATTCAGATAACGATGATGAACAATGGCAAAGTGAAGAAAATGTCACAAGATCATTCACTAATTCCAATGATGATGATGAACAAAGTGATTCGGGGTCTTCAGACAATGACCTTGAGGAATCTGAAGAAGATGAAGATGAAGAGTTAAGCGAAAATGAGCTGAATACTCTGATACAATCTCAGAAGAAACCAATGACTAAGGATACTTCAAAACAAAAAATCAGTGGTCCGAAAAAGAAACCTCTAAAACGAACTCGTGGTATGTTTTATCCACATTTCGATTGTCGAATATTCAATCTCGAACTGGAATAAGATAGAAACCTATCCGTTACTAGTGTAACTCGAATAACTCGTTTTATTTGGAACACCTCAGTAGTGTTCATGTATTCACTGGTCGATTCCAATACTCTCAGTGTTCAGGATGTGCACGTTATGCTTAGATACTTGAGTATTTTCCAAAGATCTGCAATTTTCCCACGTCGCTTTGTCTTAGTTGACTTCATTGTTGCTGATCGTTTGTTAAGTATCTGAAGTAAATTGATTCAGTAAACAGTTGCTCAGTACTAGTTATTGAATTTTGTCAAATTTTATTTATAGAGCTCCACTCATTATACAATAAAGGTTCGCTGTACAATATTAGTTTACTAAATACAGTTTTAAAGTAGATTCAACTTGCATCAATTGAATCAACACCCATAGTAAAGCCAAATATCTGTTCACTATTCCCTTACTTTAAAGGGTTCTTCAAATATTGTTGTTTTCAAACTATATGCAAGATAAGACCACCTATTCCAACTGACATTGGTTCTGGAGTAGGCTGGAACACATTTGGGGTCAGCTAGACCAAAACGTAACATTAGTTTTTTAATTCCCTCAAGACTGTCGATCCGGGCCAAATTCGTAGATACTGGCCGCCTGGTCGCGATCTGCGGTCGGAGACATTAGGTAACTTGTGTTTTACACCGAACCGTAGTTCTCGCTTCAAGCATTGACAAATTTACAACATTTGTAGTACGTGTAGCTAATTTGTATTGAATGCATAAAAAATTCATACCGCTTAAAGTGCCTTCAGTGCGGTTCCACTTTTTAGTCTTTTAAACTAATGCAATGTACTTTTTAGGCAGAGATGAATGATGGCTAATAGTGGAATCCTGGACGCGCCTTTCGTTCTATTTGGTATTCGCCAGCTAGATGTACCTGCACTCTGTAACTCGAACCCAGTACCGTTTGCTTCTAACGGCATCTCATTGTCTGCTTAGCTACGGAGTTCAGATAGCCACTGGGTTATGCAACAGAGTAAATTTTAGTTCACGTTCGTTGGTTATTTGAATCTTCCAGTGGTTATCTGGACTCAGTAGCTAAGTGGGTAATGGGACGGCGCTTAAGTCGAACGGTGTTGGGTTCGAGTTCCAGATGGAACGAAACGCGCGTTCTGAAATCCACCGCCAGTCACCATTTATCTCTACCTAAAATGTTTGTGACTTACTGGCAATATCAAGACAATCCGCACAGGACCCACATATACCAAAAGTGACGGATCAATTGTAGTCCTAAACATCAACGGGAAAATCCAAGCAACCAATATTTATAATGAATATACTTTACATATTTCGCCCGTTTGTTCAATTAAACTTACCGTCGGCTTATTGTCTTTTTAGAATCTGTTGAAAACACTCCAACGTCCGCAAAGAAAATGAAAATAATTGGAGAGTCAAAGGTAATTTTCTTCTGCAAGTTTTCATTATTTGGATCATTAAAAGGAAATTATTATTTGCTAATTTTTATACATGGTAATCATTATATTGGGTTACGTGGGAAAATTATGTTATAATTAGTTATACTGCCCAATCTGAGATAGAATAGATCGAATCTCTGGTCTGAAACACTGACTAGAAATCAAGTTTGTATGTGAACTGATCAAGTATATTTCTTCGCTAATTATACCCATTCTTTGTCACTTATGCTTCTTAATTTCTTGCTAGATACCTTGTCTTGGTAACAGGTTTTCTTAGTCGCCTAATTCATGTAGACATATATATGTCCCAGCCGGATATGTACATCAAATGCTGTCATCAATATCGCTACAGTAGCTTTCTTAAATAACAACATATCTGAAAAGTCTATTTAAACTACTTTACTTGATCTTAATGACCACGAAAAATTTCCTTGTAATTTATCTTCTCATTTACTGTACCCCCTATTGTTTACTTCATGAGTTATGAGAACCGTTAGAACGTGATAATGAAATTATTACTTTCTCAATCCTTCTTGAAAAGTCTGTTATAAACTGTGTAACCGCGTTTGCTTGTGTTGTATAATTAAGGTTCAGAAGTTCACATCGATTTTTACAAAACCTCAATAATAGAGCACTGTATATAATTCAATCACATTTTACTATTATTAAATATATTTATTCGGCTTTTATAGATGAATTGCATTTGGTTACTGAACCATGGTTCATCTGTACAGAAAGTCAATCACGTATTGAAAACAATTTGCATCTTTGGTTACACAATCTATTTACAATTTAATATAATAATTATGAAATTTCATTAGGTTTGATTAACATTATAAAGTCTATTGTTTAATAGATTTGGTATAAACCTTTTGATAGCTTGAAAATATTTTACATTTCTACACGTTTTAATCTTGTGTCTTATTCAATATTGCAAATAATGCACGACGTGAAATTCTCTGGGACAACATTCGTAGAACATGTCCAAGCCACCAAAGTCGGTGTTTCAAGATGGCGACATTAATTGCATTATCATCTCTGTGCCCGAACACACGATGCCGAACCTCTGCATTACTGACATGGTGTTGCCACTGAATGTCAGCAATCCTTCGGAGACAACGATGATCAAACACAGAGAGTCATCTAACGTCCTCAACTCGGAGAGGCCAGGTTCCACAAGCATAGAGCAAAACTGCTCTCACCGACGCGTTGTAAATCCGACCTTTTACAGCCACACTGACATCACGAAGGCGCCAGAGATGGCCCAGATTGGCATAAGCCGCTCTGGCTTTCACTATACGTGCATTGATCTCATCACTCACACCCCCACCAGCACTTATGCAGCTACCCAGATACACGAACTTCTCGACTACTTCTATCTGTTCACCATCCAGAGTGAGTGCAGGATTAGAATCCCGCCAGTCTTGTAGAAGTGCTTTGCACTTCGAAGGTGCAAAGGTCATACCATACCTACGGACACTAATTGCCAACTGAATAAATGTGGACTACATGGCTTGGCTATCACCTCACAGTCAGACAATACCATCCACATACTCAAGGTCGAGAAGTCTTTCTCCAGGCAACAGATCCACACCTCAATTACTTACATCCATCAGAGCTGTTTCCAGAATGTCGTCGATGGCAAAGTTAAAGAGGAATGGTGAGATTGGGCAACCCTGTCTAACCCTACTGCTCGAATGGAACAATGGAGAGAGGTGGTTGTATGCACTTACTCTGCCTGAAGTGTTTGTATATAGGGCTTTTAGGATGTTAATAAACTTCTGAGGCACACCCTTCTTCAATAGACAATCCCAGCAAACAGTTCTGACCAACGAATCAAAGGCGGCTTTAATGTCAAAAAACACCACGATTGTCGGCTTGTAATAAGTATGACTATGTTCTAACAATTGGTAAAGGGCAAAGATACAATCAATACATCCTCGACCAGAACGGAAACCAACCTGCTCCTCGCGATTCAGTCTTGGGTTGTGAACAATCTACGAAGTATGATGGCAGCCAATAGTTTGGACGCAATCGGAAGTAGACTTATCCCCGGATAATTGTTGTAGAAATGAAAAAAATTCAAATTTACGAATCTAAACTTAGAAATAATTTTCTGCTCCGCGTCAGTCTTTTTAAAAATCTTAATTCTTACCCACATATTAAATTTCCCATTTAGTCGGGTTGCTTTTTGCTTGTATTTTTGTTCTTCATTCTCTTTATTTAGCAATCAATCGTAAAACCTCTTGATAAAGGTGATGATCATCAAGTGTCTGTGTCATATAGTTGGAAAAATGAATCTGTTATAATTGAGGAAATCAAAAAACGTGCAAGTAAGTTATGAATGTGTAAATTTCTATAAAGAATATACATTGCATAATATTATAAGACAATTAAGAAAATATATGATCGCATGCTGTTAGTTGCATAATAACATATGCACGTTTGCAAATATAGATTTATCAATCCACATTTCTCGAACCATTTCAATTCTCAGTTATGATGGTAAAGATATAGATTGTAGTCTTAATATTATTAATTAACAGTGATCAAGTTAACCTCTATCTAAAAAGCCAAATATGAAATAGCTAATGATATCCGTAATTTCATTAACCTTATCCTTTATGGAACTCTGTTCAATTATGCTTATAAATTAATTAATGTCAAGATTTATTGATAGTACTTTCGTCGATTTTTTAATAACTTAAGATGATGCCTCCAAATGCCCCTGTACGGCGGAGAATGGAGAGAGTTAGTTATTCCTCTAGAAATGCTTTCACATGGCCACATGCATACAGTCACTGCCAGAGAAGTCTTATTTACTGCCTTCTCGCTGCATTACTGTTGTTTAAGAAATCGAAAGGACGAAAAGCGAATGTCCGACTTTAAGCGGATTGGTGGATATAAAGGATCCATTTAGGGGAGTTGGAAAACCCTGATTCCAAATCAATAATGCACATGATCTCTAGTATCCTGAGGGAACAAATGGCGTATGATTCTATTGTTGGTCACTGGCTACCATGAGATTGCATCTCCTGACGTCGCTCCACTGCGTTGTGGATTAGACTTATGTGAAAGGCTCAGGATGCGGCCCCTTAATAAACTCTACCTGCTTCGGTTTGAGCATCTGGATAGTATTCCAGTTCTCACACAAATCGAATGATTTACGTAGCTCATATCTATTTACTGCCTCCTTATACTAATGTTTATGTGTTTAAATAAATAAATACATGCCTCAAATTCATAGAATCCTTCCAAATTGGCAAGTTATTTTTGTTAATGATTTGCATAAACGTATCATGTATGTAGAGTAACAGAGCTATATAATTTATATTTTGCTGTGATAAAGACATTTTGAAGTCTGCATATAAATAAACGTATTTTGGCATGATTAATGGAACTTTCTTCAAATTATGTGTTCTGTGTATGTTCATGTTCATTCGTCTACATTTAATTTGGGTTTTTTTTCGTTTCACTAGTTGAACTTTCATCTGCTACGTTGCATGTGAGTCCATTACCACCGGATCATAACGAGTCTATGCTGAAATCATTGTCACCGAGTATGATGTCATATCGATTTTCAATAAGGAAAAATAAAAGGATTCGAGAGTAAGTCTTTATTTACGTGTGAATGTATTTCAGAGTAATTTCCTTTTTTTTTTAGTAACTACTACTCTCACAATAAAGCAATGTTTAAGTATATGTTTGTTAGTAGTATAAAATTATATGAAAGTAATCTGGCTGATTTTATGGCTGTAAAATTTGACCTTCATGGTAGGTTACACTGCAATTCAATCACGTTTTCAAGGCATTCGTTTCATTTGGTTGAAACATGTAATGAGTATCGCTATGTTTAACTATAAGGTGTGAGGTGTCAATAATTACTCAGTTAGTGAAGTTATGAAGCTTTATCAACTAATACAGATGTGTTACCCATGTCAAACCGCCATCTGTTTCGATAGAAAATCCTAGTTGATGTCGGAATAGGTTGGAAGATAGCTAAGGGTTACCGAATCATGAAGTTGTTGACTATCAGTCTATGTTATTTGGTGAATAATTAGGTTGTAGTTAAGCAGATGCTTTCATTTTATTATCTTCTAAAATGTTGAATATCCAATTCCGATCAACCTACCTATTTTAATCGTGTCACAGACTAGTTATCTGCTCAGACCAATTGTGCAGTCCAAAGTGAAGCGCAGAAAGTTACATTTAGTGTGTTAAATTAAACAACTCATATCTGAGTTTTGCATGACCCAACAGGTAAGACAACTAATACCAAATGCAAATGCTGTTCATCCTTGAGAAAAAGTCTATCTTCAAGGTTAATGGGTATCATATTTTTTTTGTGACTTGACACCAAGTTTATCAACAAAAAGTTTTGAGAGAGTATTGACAGATTTTCAATATATATTCAATCAAACAGTATCAGTTTATAATACATCTAATGTAAGGCGAAATATTGTCACTGAAATACTTTATGAATCATAGTTTCCTATAACAAGCATTAGTTCTCCGTTAATTACCTCAAATGCTGCTATAAAGTTTCAACTTATCATTTTAAGTTTACGAAACATTCAAAACACAATGATCATGTTAAAGAGCTAATTGTTTATTCATTTATTTTAACACATAGATATTGGTACAAGGATGCACCAAATACATATGCGCCACACAAATCTCATTTGATATGAGGGATGTGATACTGCCCGGGTGCCCAAACCGAGGCAGGTGGTTTTCTTAGGGGGCCACACCCGGGGCCCTCGACTTGAAGGTCTGATCCACAAGACAGTGGAGCATCGTAAGGAGATGCAGTCCCTTGGTAGCCGGTGACCAACGATTGGTTCATACGCCATTTGTTCCCTCAGGATACTGGAACCCATGTGCATCATTGGTTTGGAATCAGGGTTTTCCAACTCATCTAGGTGGACTCTCCATGTCCACCAACCCGGTTAAAGCGCCGGACATTCGCTTTTCGTCCTCTCAATTTCGTAAACAACATTAATGGTGCGAGAAGGTAGTTAGTAGGACTTCCCTGGCGGAGACTATATACGCGTGGTCATGTAAGAGCATTTCGAGAGGGAAAGCTGACTCTCCCCATTCTCGGCCGTACCAGGGCATTCGGGGGCTAATTAAAACCCGTCAATATTTCTATATTAAGACACTTAAAACTAATAGACATAGGAAGGACTGATTTGTGATCTTTCAAAGATAATTCAAAGGTTCTTAATACTTGAAATCAAAGAACTAAATTCATATGTATTCATCTATTTGGCTATAAAACAACAATAACAACAACACATCCTTACCTTTTCTAGGAATGTTTTGTCATGAATTACTAATCTATATAACCTACATTCTTATTGACGTGGTTATTTCAAGAGTTGTTGATTAAACACTGAGTAATGACTAATGTGGCCTATGTCATAAGCATTGGTTGAATTATATCGATTAAGTCTCAATATAATCATTAGTCTAAGTGACTAGACATTGTGTGCACTGTGTCAGTTTTCCAATTGTTTGGAGGTAACTGACTACTTTCGAATCACAGGTAATATCAATTTCGTCAAAATTACAAGTATGCTTTATTAAAAAAAGTGTTAGAGCACAAAACTCAGGTTTAGTGTATCCTGTTGATTTATTTCGGTCAGCTAACATTTGTATTTGCCCACCGTAAATAAATATATGGTGATCATCAAAAAGCTTACAATTTCATTTGTTATTAACCAGTTTTTTTATTTGTTCATTCAATATATCCATTTATCTAGCTTTGTGTTTCTTCAATACGTCGATGCGGATACAGCCGAAGCTGCAAGAAAAGCTATATCTGGTCGTCTGTTTGCCGGCAGAACAATCTCTGCCCAACCTAATCGTCTGTCATTTCCTATCAGTGACTTAAATTTGGATAATATTAATCGAACGCAGCTTTTTGTGACTGGTTTCAATAGTTCAACAACTAAAAATGATTTAATACATATATTTCCAAAAGGCACTGTTGATTTTCCATTGACCATAGATGGAATGACATGCGGGTACGTCGTATGATAATACAATCACATTGGTCATTCTTTGATTTTATTTTTGCACTAACGATCCTTGAGTAGATCAGTTATTTAGCATGTTTTAAAAACGGTGTGACTATAGTTTATGAACGAACCAATCAAATTTAGGATAATTGATTTTAGATTTTAGCACCGAATCCATTCATCCACTTGGCTTAATAACGTAACGTCACGGCATTTTAGATTATATCAGTTTGTGATGAAAACCATAAATGTAGTTCCTAACCTTAACCATTAACTATAGATCATAGTTTTAAATCCTCAAACTGATTTACAACCTTTACTTAATTCTAGTGAGTAAGTGGATATTCCCAAGATCAGTTGAGCATTGCTCAAAGGTCGTCCAAAAATTATAGTCTGATTGTTCTAGTATACGATTAATTATTTATCTGGGAGAAAAACACTAGATTCATCAATCGACTGTTATAACGGATAAAAAGAAAGTGTATAAATCGCATATGTGAATGGATAATTGTTGTGGTGTCATATGGTATTCTATGCGCTAACCGCCCCCCCTCCAGTTGACTACTTGGGCGAGCAAGTGTATTAAACTATTGAATAAAATTCACAAATACTTATTCATATATATTTACCACTACATGCTTAGGAAATTGACCTATTGACCCTAATGAAATGCACCTAAGATTTAGGTCACTTCTAATTGCCATCGATTGACCTTTCGGTACTTTTGATACTACAGTTAAACAATACAAAATACATCATAAAACTAATGTATGCATTGTACACTATTTAATAGTTGTTTGCAAACATTTAGCTTATTGGCTAAATGTTGGGGATGTTGTTAGATCCCCAGAACTCACTTGGTAAATACTTTAGTTTTGTAAATGTATCTTAAAAAATTGAGTTTCTTGTTTTCGCGTCAAAAGCGCTGATTTTCACCTTTATGCCATATACCTGAAGTTTGTGCTGGTGATGATGTCGTTCAGGAGAACGATGAAAGCTCCACGACTAAACTATTCAGCTCAGACAACAAAACTCCATCAATATTATTATTTATAGTATTTTCTTTTCATTGACTTCCTTTTTTTTGAGGGGGATCCTATAAAGTTATTTACACTAACCAACTACATGTTTTTATCTTTTTTTTTTTAAAGTTATGCAGTTATCAAATTTGTCAATGAAAATGTATCACTTGAGGCGTTTTCCACAACACATAAACGACTTGTTCGTGGTCTACCAATATTTGTCAATTTTATATTTTCTCGTTCTAAAGTAATAGATCAGAAACAAAATAATGATGAAAATCAATTAAAGGCTAACAAATCTAAAAATGATCAATCATTGGAAAAAATGAAAGAGAAACAATTGAATAAACCATCATCATCATCATCATCATCATTGGAAAAGACTTCTAACATAGTAATTCAGAAAACAACAGTGAATACAAAAGATATTGGTAATAAAGAGAAGAGTAGTAATACAAAAGTTTTAGTTCAACAATTACCTGAATCTGAAAATGATTCCAAATCATCAGCTAGTGATGAATCAAATGATGAAAGTAAAACCGATGAATTACTTGTTCATCAAACCAAAAATAAAAATTCAACCACTAGTAAAACATCAGTACTAAATGATCTTGTATCATCGAAAATATTGAAAGTGTCCCCCAAAAAGAAATCCAAATCTGAAATGAGTAAACTAGATGATGATGAGGATGATAGTGATGGTCAAGATGATGATGATGATGATGATGACGACGATGATGATGAAGACGATGAAGATGAAATTAGCGAGTATGATGAAGATGACAGCGGTACTGAGGAAGAGGACGATGATGAAGATGTAGATGATGATGATGACGACGACGAAGATGACGAGGATGAGGAAGATCTAGGCGATACAGATAGTGATGATGCGTCTGAAGATAGCGATGAGGTGGTTAAAAACGATTCCAAGCAGAAAAACACAGTTGATAACAAGAATAAACCTTCGCCTTTAAAAAATAATAGCCAAATCATTTCCGTTGACGAAGAACAAGCCTCATCAGCTGATAGTAATAATAGTTCCGATGAGGAAATTGACAAACAATTGATGACAGTTATTCAAGCTAAACGTAATGCTAAAAAATCATTCAAGTCACCTAAGAATGCTAAGCGTAATTTCGACTCAGCAAAGCACTCTGGAAAAAAAATTCAACCTCAATGGGTAGGTTAAATCCTTCTATTTTTTTAAAATTTCTGATGCATTATTATGATTTATTATTTATCGATAGCAAAATCAACCTCATTTATTTATTTATGTTAACACATAGATATTGGTACAAGGAGGCACCAAGTAGATATGCGCCACATAAATCATCCGATTTATGTGAGGGCTGTGATACTACCCGGGTGCCCAAACTGAAGCAGGTGGTTTTCTTAGGGGGTCACACCCCGAGCCTTTGACCTAAAGGTCTGACCCACAAGGCAGTGGCGCATCGTGTGGAGATGCAGTCCTATGGTAACCTCATTGACACTAATTTCACGATTTAAAAAAATTGTACAACTATGTTATTTTAAGCTACAACTATCTCACAGATCTTGGAATCTAAAAGTCTATCTAACTAACAATGAGACTTGTGTCGACAATCAATTACTTCGTGAACTGATATGACGTTTAATTGTTTAATAATATTGAATACAAAACGACATAAATCAGTATTATTAGTAATGACGCTAGTGGTACAAAACTAAGCATCAAATAGATGATTTAACAATGTCATGTTCTACTTTGAAAGTAGATCTCTTCACTGCATTCCCTGTTTTCAATATCCATTGACAATATAACTAGCAAATAGAATAGATTTTCTCTATTGTTAAATGACATGAGATTTGGGAGATAAAAGTTCGCAAAACTAATCATTAATGATGAATATACCACAACTTGAATTGTTACAAAGGATTTAAATAATCACATGGTTGATAATCTTGACTTGAATCATAATCAGTCTTTGTTGGTATATGTTGTCACATTTTGCGTGGATTCCTTCGATGTCGTCATTTTTCACAAGTTTATTGAATGAGATGAATTTGTAGCTAGTAGTGAAATCCAATACATGTATGTCATCCTACTTGAGACTCGTCAGTTGGATGTATCTTAGATGTATATAATACATCTAGCCAAAATCCATCTACTCTAAAAATTATATTTTTTTTCTCCATTATCAAATTGTATTAGATAATTGAAAGATATCAATTTCATAAGTCAATGATCAAGAACCAGTTAATTTTAAAACGTTGCCTAATTTTCCGATTCCCTTTATCAGTAGTATTTAATACCAATTAAAAGTAGTTGCAGACGTTTGAGAAGATAGAATCAAAGTGAATGGGAATGTAAGCAAATAGTAATTGTAATAACAGTGATCAGACGATGAAATTTGAGACAATTGATGAGAGATTTGCGAATAAAGTAGTTACGAAACAACTCTGCAATTTCGCATTGAATAATAAATTGATTGTTCTTACTTGAAAAATATATGACAATCACACATCAGCAAGTGAAGCTCATCAACTGACTGATCTACTTCAAGTCATAAGTTACACTTTTTAAGGATTATTTTAAAAATTATTCACTTGAATAAGTTCCTAATTCTTTATGTGTTCTCTCTTTACGTTTGTTCATTCTTTCGGTTTCAGCTTCGTGTACCTGAAACTATGAAGGGCAAGAAGAAATAGATAAAAACTAATTATGAACGGTCAAATATAGTGTATATATAGATTCATATAATGAATAAAAATTATTATATTTGGTATGTATCTGTGTTTTGACTCATTTTTATGGATGAGTGTTATGGGGATTAAATGCTATTATATTAGTGACCGCAGTGCCCAAGGGACAACTGCTTAAGGTCGGTCACACATGACTTTTCTGTGAGTAGTTTCCGTGTTAGCTTCGTAATTGTTGAGACCTTACCGCCGGAGACAGATATCCGTGGGATAAGGCGAGGTGTGCATTTTTAGGGTCGACCTTTTCTAACCTCACCCCTCTTCATGGTAAGACAGCATCACTGTCACGCTGGCTGTCCGAAGGAAACACCTTACTGCCTTCACACCTATGTACAGTCAGCAGTACGACTTCGCCTTCGGACCTTGGGTTTGTTGCTTTCAGTCTTACCGCTCTTCAACCGACCTGTCTGACATGGTAGGACCTTGAGGAACGGTTGTTCCAGCCAGTATAGCTCGGTTGCTTCATCACGATAGGCAAGCCCGACCACCACATCAAGGTAGCACTAACGGTCGGGTAGATACGACTACCTGGTTGGGGCCCGCGTGACTATCGTAACAAATGTTTGGAGACTGGGTGACGGCTCAGAATCGATCACAACGGCATAGGTTTATACACTCTCTGTCTTCCCTTAGACTAAGAGATTAAAGTAGCTACATATCTTTCTTCTTGTACTATATCCTTATATGCAATCTTTCCTTTATATATTACACTATTGAGTTAACTGCTTCTATGAATCCAGTATTCATCTTATTGTGCTAATGCGGTGTGGCAACTTGGACCGATGCATATATGTGCCTGGTCCTACGTTGTAGCTGACTGACTGTGATTCTACTTAAGTTGGATAATCTTGGTTTTGAAACTTTCATAAACAAAGTACCAGATTTCAAATCAACTGAACGAGTGTTATTCAGCTGTTTGAAATTCTAATAGCGTAATTTCTCTTGAAAACGTTTACTGATTTTATCTAGAAAGACAGTGAGTCTCATGAATTAAACAACCCAACTCAGAAAACAGAACACTCATAAAGCAGAATAAGTTTGGATGTTAAAATTAACCGAATAAGCATAGTGTTATGTTTATCTTTACAGTCTATGAAAAGTACGAACCAATGTTTTGTAATACTAGAAGTGATCACAAGGCATTGATAAATTAGGTAAAAGACAATTGATAAGGGATCATGAAAATAGTCCGTAAAGGTTGTTCTCGTATATAAAGAGACGAATCGAAAGAAGTGATGGAATCTCACATTTGGTATGGGAAATTTCGCCAATATTCGCAATACACGATTCCGCTAAAACCGTAGCTGATAGGAATATGATCATGGCAATGATGCTTGTCGATCGATCCTGTAGCTGTTCAGAAAGGAGCTGTCATATGATTGCTTTAACATCTCAAACCAAATAAATCCAGTGGTTCTGACTGTAAGATCCATTTTGAATGTTTGTGTGTGAATATTCCTCCATGTATGCACCTGCAGTTTGTTCCTATTTATTAGTTTAGCAATACATTTTGTTAGTCTTTTTGATTCTATTTGAGTTGGTAATATTTGTATTTTATTATAGTTTCCATTTTTCTTCCTGAACTGCATTTATCTTGTTTTACTTGATAATTAGTCTTGGCGGCAGCCATACTAGTTTGTTCCTTCTTTTGATTTTTTTGCTTGTATTGACCGGAATTGTGCAACTTTTGATTGTGAATTGAAGCACACCTCCAGAATTGGAAACACTTTGTGTTATAAAGCAACCAAATAGTATCTTTTGAACGAATCTGTGCGTAGTCTATCTAGACAGGATAGAATAACATTTATTTGTTGTGATTGGTAATTGTCCTTATTTAATGTGATTTAGATCTGATTAATTGAAAAATTATTGGTTGAATAGCTGGGTGGTCATATTTGTTTAGGTAACAATGTACATTTAAATTTACAATAAATTTCAGAACTGTCATTCCACTCAATCACTTTGTTTTGGTTTCAACCGGGCAAGGGCGCGTATCTCACCCACCTAGACAGTTATTCTTCAGTCCAAACCTTATTTTGGATTTAGCTCTGACGATAAAGCACCACCCTTCTTGTGGTGTCCGGAACGCTCCTGTCGGCCCTTGAAAATCCGAGCGAGGCAGTATAATTTTCGTGGCAGGCCGTACCCATATCCGCAGCAGGTCTCCAAGGTGAACAGCCTCTGGCAATTGAACAATGTAGGTAAGGGAAGTCGGCAAATTGGATCCGTAACTTCGGTAGAAGGATTGGCTCTGGGGGTCGAGTCAGACAGGCCGAGATCAGATACGTGTCGGTCCAGTTGGGGGCTGGTTTCTTTGCTGCTTTGTGTGCTTCGATGTGCGTTGTTTTGGTTTCAACCGGGCAAGGGCGCGTATCTAACCCACCTAGACAGTTATTCTTCAGTCCAAACCTTATTTTGGATCTAATTCTGACGATATTCATCCCCGAATCATGAAAGCTGAACTGGCACGACTGTTTGTCATATCTTTGAGCAGTCTAAACTGTGAAGAGATTGAAAAGACTCACTTATTAGTCCAGTCTACAAACCTGGCAGTAGAGACAGTAAATATCAACCGGTTAGTCTAACATATGTAGTCAAACTGATGAAACGACTATTCGGTGGGTTGTTTCAGAATATATGGAAGGAAATGTTGTTTTAGACAGAGAACTACAGCGTTTGAGGAAACGTCCTTCATGCTTTACGAGGTGATCTGATACTGACTTACCATATACGTAACAATTATTTTGAAAATTATGTCATATATTTCCTTTTCATAAAGTAATAATGATTAAACAATGATTAGCTAAATAACTGAGTGCTAATATTTGTTGGGATAATAATATACACTCAAACATAAAACGAAGTTTACAACCGTCATTTACCCAATCTCTTCGTCTTCGTTCCGACTGGTCGATCGTGCGTTTCTAAACGAGCATTAGGTTATTTCTCATTCCAAACTTGTTAAGTTTGGAAACTGTTGATATGGGTAGAGCTATCTAGATCAACTGGTCATTCCTAGTTGCTCCAACTACAACATTTATACATCTATTTTCTTCCGAGCACAGGACTTACGGATAAGTTGCTAGATTTAGGTAAAGTCCCATACTTCAGCAGTTAAAGTTAATGTTGCAATATCAAGTTTCTTCAGGTTTAATTTTTGTATAACACACATTCACTTATCTCTGTTACTTATTTATTTCTAAACTGTCGTCTCTTGTACTTTCCCCCTACATCATCTCTCATTTTACTTTTTAGTCTATTGTAGTCACAGCGTTGCCGCCAATACCTACACCATACCAAAACGACGACCAGTGGAGGTATAGGCCTTAATTCAGAAGTTGGCAGTAAGTTGAGAATCCTCATTTCGGGATGTATGATTACAAGAATTATAAAATAATATCAGATAGAAAGCCCCAGGGTAATGTTTGATCAGGATCACATTCTTACCCATGTCCCTACTCCTAATTAGACAAGTGTGCACAAATATATGGGAGAACAGAACTTCTGAAACCACGCGTAGTGCTAACATTTTGCGCATAACAATAAAAAACGATAACTATCTCGTGCTCATCGTTCGTTAAACCAGGGACTCAGCATTTGAACGCACTTTCCTCGGCGGCTGGGTTCACTGTCGCCGTAATACGATAATGTTTCTACCAGGGTGGGTACATGCCATTTTTATAGACATGATCTATTAGTAATAAGGCAGTACTACATATAACGGCACATTTTCAACGGTGTAGAATAAATATATCAACTGGGCTAAGGAAAGAAGTAAATAAGACCCCAGTGGAAACAATCATATAAATTCCAACAAGTTTATTTAACTCATCAAGCACATATTCAATCAGACGTGGAACTATGGAAGCCGTAATCCGAGCTCGTACGCTGATGAAATTATCGGTTGCAACTAACACCTCAGCATCTGTCAACCGTAGATGGTAACGGATGATCGTTGGAAAGGAAGCCGACACAAGTATAGCTCTCAAAACACTAAAAAAGAAGGATGAATAGGTTAGACAAAACTTCCTTATTTTTTTTCACGGCCCAGCGTTGAAGTGTAGCTTATTAAAAGATGGGGCGGTCTTTGAAGACAAACAGTGGGACAAGTATCGTGCAGTGCCAGGAAAGGGTACCTTGTCCTCATCAGGGTCAAAATGTAACAAAAGATGAACCACACGCACTAAAGGTAAAGTTTACGCACAGAACACATTACGGAAAAGATTTAATTCACATCTGTTTTATCCGAAGATGAAATTGTGGGTAAATTAGTGGACCATATTATATACAATTATTATACATATGTATATTCTTACAGTACACCAACTGAGTAAAGGGAACCTTCATATATGCTTATATCCCTTTTATCATAAGCCTTCATCTAACATATTGGCTATCACCATAAGATTTACTATGTCCAGACTGTTAGATTCGGTCCCTCATACTCACAGCCGCTTCTTTCCTGACCCCATATAATCACGACTGTTATTTTATGGTTTGATGTAATCTGGTCTGCTTGTATATAGACCCAGTATGTCCGAAATATATCATTCATACAGCAGAGGCTGATATTGTGTCCTGAAGTCAATGGACTGGGATAGATGAGGAGTTACTAAATTGACGACCAAAAAGTTTCGAGTTTGACGCAAGGCTTCTAGTGCTGATCGATATGTCATTGGTCTGACACAGTAACAAGGAAACAGAAGTCCGTATTTTGACTGGCGATTTGGCCAAGTGAAAATTGACACGGGTAAAGACACAAAAACATTCCAGAGACCACCTGTTAAACGACATTCTCGAATCCGAGTTAGACGCGACAAACTATGGGCCGTAAGAGATGCCGCCTGTAGAAATACATATTACGCATTAGCAAACACCAACAACCAACTGGTGTGGTTGCTCACTGAGTGCCTAAGCTAATAGGTAGTAATCGGGATAAAGTCCATGAACACCATATGCAACAGTGGCTTCGGCCATAACATAGAATAAGCCTCCACACCGCTGCGATGGCCTGTGTATGTAGA